CACCCAAGACTGAGGGAATACTGCAGGAGAGAGGGCAGAAAGATGGTAAGAGCTAGAGAATCAAAGAGTTTGCTGTGGGATTGTGTCTCCAAGTAATGTCAAAAGCTACACCCATACAGTTTCACCAACCTGACTGCCTAAGCATGAACTGGACAACAACAATAGACATGCCGAAGTGGATGGGGGAAAGATACTGAGACTTTAACTCTATACAAAGAACTACAGTCAATGAAGGAATGTTGAAAGTAGGAGAAATAGTCTTATCCACACAAGATATAAATGGTTACCCAATTTCAAAGGGTCAGTTCTGAAAATATGTATAAAATAACACTATATAGACCAGAAAGGTTTTATGCATGTATCAGAATATATGTACATACACATGCATGCATATATCTATTGATCTATGTCTATCTGCCTGTCTATCAATCTTGTCTGTCTATCTATCTATCTATCTATCTATCTATCTATCTATCTATCTATCCATCCATCCATCTATCATCTATATGTAGCAACAATTAATGAAAATAGAGACCATGGACTTGAAAGAGAACAAAGAGGGGTATATAGAATTATCTGGAGAGAGGAAAGAAAAGAGAGAAATGATATAATTATGTTATAAATAAAATAAAATAAAAAATAAAAATAAATAAAATAAAATAAATTACATTAAAAATTTTAGCTCTTTAATGCATGATGATATAACTAACATTCTGTAGTTGTTCTTTCTTTCTTTTTTTTTTTTGATTTTTCGAGACAGGGTTTCTCTGTAGCTTTTTTGGTTCCTGTCCTGGAACTAGCTCTTGTAGTCCAGGCTGGCCTCGAACTCACAGAGATCCGCCTGCCTCTGCCTCCTGAGTGCTGGGATTAAAGGCGTACGCCACCACCGCCCGGCTGTAGTTTTTCTTTTTACTTTTTTGGTGAATGAAAGTCATATTTGTATATCTCATTTTCAATGACAAATATCCATAAGGTTTATATTAAAAATGTCACCAGTGATTTGTAATTAGACTGTTTTTTTGAATTGCCAGCTCCCAGATAATGACACAGAGACTTATTATCAAAATATTAATTATGAAAGCTTGGCCTTTATCTTAGGCTTGCTCCAACTAGCTCTTACAACTTAATTGAACTTATTTCTATTATTATGCTGTGCCACATTGCTTTTTACTTTCCCTCCATTCTGTACTTTCATCATGCTCCACATCTTGCTGGCGTAATTCCTGCCTCTATGATTCTTTCCTGATACCCCAGTTCCTCTCTCTACCCAGAAATCCTGTCTATTTTATGTATATATATATGTATTTATAATTTAGAAACCACAAATAAAAGATAGCATGTGATTGTTTTTCATATGACATATGATTTGTCTTTTTGAGACTGGCATAATTTGCTTAATATGATTATCTCCAGTAGCACCCATATTTCTACAAATGATATGATTTTATTCTTCTTTGTGGGTGAAAAATCCCATTTTCTATGCATAGTACATTTTCTTTATCCAGTCCTCTGATGTTGGACATCATAGGAGCCTTTCATAATTTATGTGTTGTGCATAATGCTGCAATCAATGTTAATATATAGTTTTCTTTGCATTATATTAAGGTGGAGTCCTATTAATAAATACCTATGAGTGTATAACTGGGTCATATGATAGAACTAATTTTAGCTTCCTGAGAAACCTCTATGTGTATTCCACAGTGGCCATTGTGTTTACATCCCTGTAGTAACAGGCCGCTTTCCACAGCCCAGCTCCCAGCTGCCTGGCTAGCTAGCTTATAACCCAAAATAACAACACACAAATTGTATTCATTTAAACACTGCCTGGATCATTATATCTAGCCTCTTCTTGGCTAACTCTCACATCTTAATTAACCCATTTCTATTAAATCTGTGTATCACCACTTGACTGTGGCTTACCGGCATGAGTCTAACCACTGTCCATCTTGGATAGGAGAAGCATGGCGTCTGCCTGACTCTGCTTTCTTCCTCCCAGAATTCTGTTCTATCTACTCCACCCCCCGAAGGGCTGGCCTGTCAAAAGGCCAAGGCAGTTTCTTTATTAACCAATGAAAGTAACACATAGACAGATGGCCCTCCTACACCACATCCCCACCACTAGTAGATGAGAGATTTTTGTTCTCACAACCTTACCAATGTTTGCTAATACTATTTTCTTAATGACCACCATTCTAACAAGGGTGAGATGGTATCTCAATGAAGTTTTGGTTTGGGTCTCCTTGATTGACAGGATTTAGCTATGCAGTTCTGGTAAATCTGCAAAATCTTGTATCCCTGGCTGGGTTGAAAATCTCTAGGCTCCTTCCTCAGCCCTCTGAGTGCTGAAATCACAGACATGCACCACCATGCCAGGATTAGTTGGCATCTTTTGTCTTGGTGTCTTACTGGATGCCTTCTTTTATACTTGCCAAGTATCTTAGTATTCTCTTTCATTTTAGTAGTGTATTTATACTATTTACATATATTTATTTATATGTGCAGAAATGTGCACCTGTGAACACACACTTCCCTACACATGTTCATGCCATGTTGTGTCTGTGGAGGCCAGACAATACCTTGAGGGAGTCTATTCTCTCATTTTACCTTGTGGGCCCCTGGGATTCAACTTTGGTCATCAGGCTTGGTTGCAACACCTTTACTTACTAAGCCTTTTCACTGGCCCCATATATTATTTTAATAACTATCTGTAGATTTAAAAATGCAACATTGTCAATTTCTAACTTAAAGTTATATGACTTATTGCATAGTATATGAGATCAAGTATATTGTGAAATTTTCAATCCCATTCTGGAAGTTACTGTAAAGATACTTTCTACTTTTACATTTGATGTCCATCCCAACTACTCCCTTTAGGCAATAAATCACCTTGCAAAGAAAGAAGAAAATTGCTTCTCAAATCCACTCAGAAACACACCACACACACACACACACACACACACACACACACACACACACACCTTTCCTGATTTCTGGGATTAAAGGTGTGCAGCACCATGTCTGACTAGAAATTTATAGGTGGTTTTTAAACATAAAGCAAAGAAAGCCAGCCTACAAAACACAATCCCAGAGAACTTAGACAACAATGAAGACACTAAGATGACTTACATAGATGTGATCTACATGGGAAGTAGAAAAAGACAAGATCTCCTGAGTAAATTGGGAGCATGGGAACCTTGGGGGAAGGATAAGGAGGGAAGGGAGAAGCAGGGAGTGGAACGTAGAAAAATGTAGAGCTCAATAAAAATCAATAAAAAAGTATAATTGAAACAAAAAAAGAAATTTATTATTTATAGAAATTCCCTCCTATAATCTAGATTGTGACATGTTGGTATTGTTTCCCTTGTTCTGTGATCTTTATTTTGAGTTTTTTGTAGAGTACATCTGCAAGCAAAGAATGCCCTCTGTTTCTAGTTTTTGAGGATGTGCTCATTTCTCCTTTATATTTTTTTTTTAGATTTCACACCGTTGACCTTTTTTGAAAGATCTATAACTCACTATTTCAGTCTATACTTAAATACTAAAGTAATAGTTATAGTCATGATAATTATTCTGAAGCTAAACTGAGTTTCCTCTGGCAGAGCATATTTTAAATAGGTGCAAAATTTCTCATTAAGACGAAACACAACTCACAATCTGAGCAGAAGTGCTCACATTTAATCCCAACACAATGGTAAAATAAACATTGGGTATTAAAGTCACTTTTCCAAACAAATTTTACATTTCAGTAGGTGGTGGGTTGTAACTTGTTTGAAAAGGAAAGAACACACATCTTTCATTTCCTTGTGAAGTCTTGACAGAATTAATTAGTAAAGTACAAAATATTGTGACATAAACCATTTGCTAGAGACTCATATATAGATATGACCCAGTCTGAAAATACTGAGAGAAAACAGCTCACTGTGGAGCAGGAGGCAATTTTTAAATAATTCTTTTAAAAATGATTGATTTATTTATGTGAATATGTATCCGTGTTGGTATATGCCAATACCTGCAGAAGCCAGAAAAGGAAGGATTCAGGTTCCCTGAGCCAGAGCTGTGGTTGTGAGCACTAGATGTAGGTGCTGGGAACTGAATGCCAGTCTCCTGGAAGAGCAGTGAGTGCTCTTGACCACCGACTATCTCTCCAGTCCCAGAATGCCATTGTGACTACTTCATTGAAACCAATGTTTACGTTGCTTACTGAAGACTGTCTTTTCTACTAGACAAATAGCTCTAACTGTATAATGCTAGAACATGAGAGAAAATTAATGGGGATGGGTTATTTTATAATCTCTTATTATAATGTCATCTAACTGTACTGGTCAACTATGAAAAGACTTCATTTTTCCTCTTTGAAGAAATTGACTTATATTGTTGCTGTTATTGTTTGAGACAAGCATTCACTCTATATAGTTCAGGCTGCTCTGGAATTCACTGTGTAGCCCAGGATGGGCTCATTCTCATAGCCATTCTCCTTCCTCTATCTTCCAAAATAACATAATATCTATACAGTTTTGTCATTTACATTTGTATTTTTGATTTACATGGGTCATATTTAAGTATGGCGTGATGTAGTGATTCTATGTCTCTGGTCTTCTGAAGGAATTACTTAGGTTGATTTTTGTTCTGAAGTAATTGTCTAGGTTGACTTTGGGTCCACACATGCACAGTGTAATTAGTTTTCTGTGTTTGACTTGTTTTGCAAAACATAATGTCCCCCAGATCTATACATTTTGCTACAATGACATGATTTCATTCTTCTTTATGAGTTAATAACACTCCTTTCAGTGAAGTTAATCTCCTGAAGGCACAGAACCAAGGGCGAACCAAGATAGGACCCTGGAAGAAATCACCCCAGGGGGCTGGCAGCAGTCATTAAGAGTTTTCCTTGCAGGGGGAATTTTCTCAAATGATAGGATTTCAGAATGTTGTCTTGTTGCTTTTCTCTGTGTGGTCATGGTTCTTATTGCCCCAATATTGATTGCAATTTCATTTTCCAGGTGTGATGGAGCCTGCAGTTTCCTGTTTATTGGGATTCCTTTTGGCCTTTCTTCTCTTACAGTTCACAGTACCTGCCCAAGGTAGAGACATCCTCCCCATTTTATTGATTAAATTTGTTCTTTGGCAATTTCATACATGTTTACAAGGCATTTTACTTACTCTCCCCTAATCCTCTCTCATTTCCCTTTCGCACTATCATTTCTTCTCCTCGTTACTTCTCTTTCTTACATTTGTGCTTTTTGCTATGCTTTGTAACCCACTGATTTTAACAAGGACTGTCTGTGTGATTGCAAGTTTGGGACTATCTGTTGGTGCATGGTAGACTCACACAACAGAGAGCGACTGTCTCTGCCTTAAAATCCATCAGTATTCAGTAGTTTAGGATGGAGGACTAGGTCCCCGAGAGCACCCTGAATGATAATGATAGGCTCCATCTCACACAGGTCAAAGTGCTGGCTACTTCAGTGGCTATGAGATTATGTTTGCAATGCCTGTGTCATTCTCGAAGACAACGTTTTGTAGCAGTTTTCCCTCTCTCTCTTTGATCTTACATTTTTTTCCTGCTTCCTCTTCCCCAATGTTCCTGAACCTTTAATTATCATTTATTCTAATTATTTTGAACACCTATGAGTCTCTGCATCCACCACCCTGTAGCACAGGGAATAAGGCCAACGATAGGCAAATGGGATTTCATGAAATTAAATAGCTTATGCAAGCAAAGGAAACGTCAGTCAAGTGAAGAACCTTTACTCCTAACACTAGGGAGGCAGAGGTGGATGTCTGAGTTGAAAGCCTGCTTGGTGTACATCAGAACTTCTAGGTCAACCAGGGCTACATAATGAGACCCTGTCTCAAAAACAAAACAACCAAACCAAACAAAATAGAAAAAAGGAGTGTATCTGTTACAATAATTGAGAAAAGGAGGCCATGATTTTGAATGAGAGCAAGGGGATGCATGGGAGGGCTTGGATGGAAGAGAGGGATGGAAGGAAATTATCTCTGCCTTATGTCTGGTTATAGTTCCAGGTATGGTCTCCATTTTCTATAAAGAGGTATTTCTTTGATGAGAGGGTGGTAGTTTCACTTCCCTCTGAGGACATAAATAAAAAAATGTCTAATGGAGCCATTGTAAAATGTCATCCTTCCCACAGCTATGAAATCATGAGTTAACCCAAATGAAGCTAATATAATTTGCTTTTTTTATATAAATGCCTGAGATTATATGCATAGAAATACCATATATGCACCAAGTGTAATACACACATGTGCATATATGTACAGAAATACATGCATGTATGTATTAAAGTACTTATGTATCTATATATTATTTTAAATAAATGAAATGTACTATGTATATATTTTGAAAATTACTTTTAAAATATGAGTTTTAAGTAATTTTATATGAATATTTTGCTATTATTTTTATAGTCGTGGAGAATCCCACCTTGTGATCACTCAAATCCACTTTACCTGTGTTGTACTGTATGAATCTACTGAATTATTATGCTGTACCATTAAATAATAATGGAAAATTTGTTACAAAAACATACTACTAAAATAAGAATGATTTATTTTTTTCAAGATATTGTAATTTCAAATTCAATGCTAGTAGTTTAAATTGTTACATATGAAACTTCACATATATAAGCCTGTGTATATATGAAAATTTTAGTATTGATTTCTCAAGTCCCATGTCACTCTACATCATCTCTTCTTATTTAATTACACTTCACTGAATTGACTGAACTTTCTAGAGAGTTCTGACACCTCTGTGTATACCTAGACTAGTTCCTTCTACTTTGGTGTGGCCCTTACAAGAGCACAATACGCACACAGCTTTCCTTTCTGCAGTGAGGTTTCTGCACTGGCAGGTGCTAAACTCCCTGCATAAAGAGCTCCCCTAGCTCTACAGGCCTCCGAACTGCTCAGTGGTTTCTTTTCTCTCTTCTTGTGTTCTCCTGAATATGAGATGGATTGACACAACATCATATTTACCTCATGAGCCGAGAATTCATCAATCATCACCTTAAATTATTTAAAGGAAACAAAATAATTAATTCCTTTTCCAGATAAGTTCATGTTTTGAAAGAACTTTATTCAGTGATTTAGTGACGATGTTTAAGAAGTGGTGATGTAAATTCCAAAATAGACAGTGCAGAGATGCAAACACCTACTTGAATTTAGTTCAGATTTTCTTGTTGAACACACATATATATATGTTGAACATGTATATATATATGTATATATGTATGTATATATGAACTACATTATTTGTGCAACTCAGTGAAGTTTTGCTTATAGGGACATTTATGAATCCATTCCTCAGCTCTAGATACTAAGTATTTTCAACATCCCAAAATGTTGTTGCAATTTTTCCTAGTCAATACCATCCACTTCTTGCCAAGTGACTATTGTTTAACTCCCATTGCCAAGAATTAATCACAAATATTACTATGTTATTACATTTATGAAAATCTAAATAGCAGCCCAAATCATTCATCATTATTCATTAATTTTTTAGATTTGTTTTCAGCATTAGTATTTGGAATTATTTGTATTTTTATTTGTATTATTTTATTACTTTGAGTTTTGGGCCATTATGATTAACGATATCATTAACATTCTTAAAATACACAACCATCTACTAAAAATTTCTGGTTGTGAACGTAGGTATATGTATAACTTTAATAGATACTGACTTTTTTTTCATATAAAGGGAGTTCTTTGTCTTCTGATCTTTGGCAATGTCAGTCAATCCTTGTCCCCCTGCTTCAACATTGTAATGGGGATCTAGTAGGGACCAATGAGGTTTTGCTTCCATTTCCCAGATGGCTGAAAATGTTGAACATCCTTTAATATACTTGTTGGTCATTAGGATATCTTTTTAAATTAAATATGTGTTCTACTGTTTTCCCATTATAGAAAACAAGCTTGATTTAGAGCATCTGTCACCTATCTAGAATGGGGTTTCTTTCTTAGAAAGAGTGTGGATATCTTCCAGTCTATGGCTTTTTCTTTTTGCCCATATTCTGATATACAAAAATTACTAAATTTTATGAAGTTTGACTTTATCAGTTTTTCTATGATTTGTTCTTATTTTTCCTAGCTTGTGCTTATATTAAAGTATTGCTTTTGCCCTAATTGTTCCTATTCATATATATGACACATTGATAATGAGAACTTCCACAAACTTCTCAACTCTTGAATCCACACTACCAATCATAATGTCATCTTTCTCTTTTTCCTAGCAATGAGTTCCGATATACAAATTAGCATTCAGGTTCCAGATGCAGAAAGTGTACTGGTGGAGTGTACTTCAGGAAACTTGATCCCACCTGCTGAGATTACATGGAGAGACAGCAAGGGGAAAGTAATTCCACCCTCGTCAAAATTTGATTCTCAGGATAGAGCTGGATTATTGTACTTGAAGAGCAATATTCTTCTAAAAAACAGAACACAAGGTCCTATTACTTGTTCTATTTACAATGTAACTACTAATCAGGAGAAAAAGAGAAGTATTTTTCTCCCAGGTAAGTTCTTATGACTTGGTTCTATCAAAGATGAATTCTATTAAGGAGAGAATTGAGTGAAATATAAATGTGAAATATGTTACAAGTTACAAACTGTAGAGCTGCACTATTTGAGTGGCTGGTAATCAAAAAATACTATGCTATGGAGAATATTTTAAAGAGCGGCAATGGGACTGTAGCGAAGTCTTGGAGGCTAAGAGCACTGTTGCTCTCTCTGAGGGCCTGTTTGGGTTTTAGAACCCATACTGGATGGCTCACAACCACCTGTGACTCCAGTTCTAGGTGATCCAGTGCTGTCTTCTGGACCCCACACATTTCTGAGGGCATGTGCCATCCACCCTCCCACATACATAGAGAATACATCTTAAAGAAGGCATTGAAATAATTAAACAAAGAGTTCTCATTTTGTGTTGCATGTTAAGGATTCAAAAACTGTATGATTTCTATATAAATTTCTAGATTTCTGTTTCAAGATTTGGAAATTCTCATTTCTTTGGGGGTACATTGTTTTATAGTCTGAACGAGACAAGGAGAATAGAGTGAACCTAGCACTTTGCAGGCTGATCCTGGTATTCTCAGGCCCTACTCAAGTAACCCACCTTTCAGAGAACAGGCTTTAGAAACCAAGCAATCCACTACACCTGGCCTCAGCTCTCTCTCTCTCTCTCTCTCTCTCTCTCTCTCTCTCTCTCTCTCTCTCTCTCTCTCTTTTCCAGCAACAAAGCACATGTGGTAAAAAGACAGGTGGAGATGCTGAGAAATCAACATTACTACAATCCTCAGGTCCTACTCTTGGCCACCTTGAATTGGGCTCTGACCATTGTGATGCTCACAGTCAGAATTTCCTTCTGCCTACACTTCTCAGTGTTTCTGTATCTGACCTTCCTCTTCTCCACAGCTGTCTCAGTGGCTATCCTCCTTCCAATCATTGTGGCAAGGGCCACTAGCCTCCCTGAGTATTTAACCTTCCTTTCCAGGTACATAGATTATTTCAGTTTCAAATAATAACCAACTCCCAGGTGTCCTAGAAAGAGCAATTGGAGGTGGGACAGGGAGAAGATATACCCTTAAAAAGCAAGTCCCTTATCACCTACTTTATCCACTCACTCTCATTGACTAACATTTTTCCCTTCTCCAAAAATCCCATCAAATTATGAATCCATCAATGGATTAATTTGCTGACAAAGTCAGAGCCCTCATGATCCAGACATTTCTCAGTGATTGGGTCTGCCAAATGAGGACTAAGACAGAAATGTGAAACTTTACATTAGAAATATATATCCAGTTCTTAACACCAGGTCCTTCTGTTCTTTTACAGATGTCCTGTTCAAGCCAACATATATGTCATTGATGTCAAAAAGACCTCCATGCCCTGTAATATATTTGATCATTATATTACTTCTTCATTGTCTCAGAGGCATACTTCTTTTTTGTTCTTTTGTATGGAAAAAATATAAATCTACAGAAGGTAAAGTGTTCTGAAACCATTTCTTCTTGAAACTCAAAACTCAGATGTGATACATACAGAATTATGTAACCCTGAACTTTAGTTCATCTCAATACTGTTTGTCAAAAGAGGTTCCAAAATCTTCAAAGATCCTCTTGTGAAGCTGCCACCTCATTGCGTTGTTCTTAAGGGTTAGCAGGCAGCTATCATCTCAATTTCATCTCATTTTCTCAGAATTCCTTTACAAGCATCATTAATGATTTTCTTTCACTTTTGGTGTTTGCGAAATTGTAATCATAATAGACCTTTTGTCTTCTGTAGGAACTTTTCAGCTATTAGAGTTATTGCTGAAAATTTCTAGGTTCTTTTATATTGTTAGAAAGAGAAAAATCCAGCCTCGCCCCACTCTTCTCATGAATTTCAGGAGAAGTTGCAAGCTCACTACCACCACAAGACAATGGCATTGGCTCTCCCTCTCCAAGGAGCTCTTGCTTTGCACTTGCATGCCATTCTGGGATGGAAGAAAACTATCAGGCGCTAAATAGAAGAATAGGTGAGTGACTGAGATCTGGGCTGTACAGCCCTGCTTTCTAGGCCCCAGGTTCCTGGGCACATCCCGTGCCCCACCCCTACCCATCACAGCTAGTTAGCATCTCCCCCCATCCATCCCCTACAGCATCAGTGACCTGCAGAGGCATAGGCTCCACCTGTACTGATCAGAAGATGAATGGCCCCAGAGGCACAAGCACAACCGACACCAATTGAAGGAAGAATCAACACCTGAACCTATAATCGTGCCAAATCCAAATGGGTAGATGGCACTGTAAGAATATATTTAATAGCATAAAGAGTGATGTGGTAAACCAGACCTACAACATCAAGCTGATTCTACAACAGCAAGACCTGGACATCCCAATGCAGATGATGAAGAAGAAAAAGACCTTAAAATATTTTATGGGAATTGCTCTAGTGCCAGATATAGCAGGAATAATAAAAACCTAGAGATAGATATTGGTGTTCAACCCAAAACCCAGAAATGCAAAGTAGCTAAGCCACTAGAGAAGTCTTACCTCTCTACCAAGATTGGGTGACTGCAGACTAAACCTTCCTCTGGAATTTGATATTCCCTTTAGTGTTGGAATTAAAGGCATATGACTCCCTAGTACTGGGATTAAAGTTGTAGGCCACCACCACCTGGACTGATCTTGTGTAGCCATGGGTGGTATTGAACTCACAGATATCCATCTGAGTCTGTCTCCCAAACACTGGTATTAATGGTGTGTGTCACCACTGCCTGACCTCTAGTGGCTTTATCTTTGCCTCTGGTCTTTAGGCAAGATTTATTTATCAAAATATAAACAATATACCACTACAACCAGGTTTCTCTGTAACCCCATAATGACTCCCTTTATCAAGATATCTCTTTTATTGTGCTCCCTCTCTGTCCCACCTGCAATTCTGACATCTCAGTCATGTTCCCATCCCCCATCCCTTCCTATCTGCCCTCCTTCCAGTTTACCTAGGAGACCTTAACTATTTCCCCTTCCTGGGGCCCCTGCATGTGTGTCCCTCTGAGGGTCCTCCTTTTTACCTAGCTTCTCTGAGGTTGTGGCTTGTAGCTTTCTTATCATTTGCTTACATCTACTATCCACTTATGAGTGAGTACATACCATGTTTGTCTTTCTGGATTTGGATTACCTAACTCAAGATGTTTTTTTTTTCTAGTTCATTCGATTGCCTACAAATTTTAAGATGTCATTTTTTTTTAACTGCTGCATAATACTCTGTTGTATAAATGTACCACATTTTCTTTATCCATCTTTGTTTGAGGGACATCTAGGTCATTTCCAGGTTTTGGCTATTACCAATAATACTGCTATGAACAAGGTTGAGGAAATGTCCTTCTGGTATGACTGTGCATCCTTTGAGTATAAGCCCAAGAGTGGTATTGCTAGGTCTGAAGGTAGATTGAGTTCTAATTTTCTGAGAAACTGCCAGACACTTTGCTTCAACCCTGATACTCTTCACCAAGATGTGGACTAGTCAAACTTCCTTATATACTTTCAGTAATGAAGTAGCTACTACTTCCCTAGCTAATTTGACTTATTTATTCATTTAATCAACATTTGTATATTGGATAGTTCATAAATATTAGAGCTGTTATAGACATTGAATATAGAGTAAAAGAGTGGATAAGAGTTAATTTTGAATGACAAAACTCCTTATTCCCTTATTGTTCTTGTTGGTAATTGCTGATACCTATGATCAAATATAATAAACAAACACCAACAAAAAACAGAACAAGTAAACTAATATACACACAAAGAGAACAAAGTCAATATTGAATACAAACCAAAAGAAGCAGGTAACAACAAAACAAATTTTTCTAGATCTTTTCACCCTTACTGTTCATAGTTATTTATTTCTTGCATGGTATAATTCAGAATAACACAACTATATTACTATTTACTTTCTTCTATAAATGTTTCAAACTAGTCAATCAATCATTTTTCTAATCTAATCTAGATAACTATAAGGAAGCAAGGTTTAGATCTTTCTCACATTATAGCAAGCTTCCTAGAATATACATGGAAGCTCAAGAGAAGAATAAATGGATGGCTAATAGAAATGATGCTATAGAAATCTTGCTGGCTGCACAAAAGTCATTATAACTGCTGAAGCCTTGGTTTCCAAGGTAGCTTCTTTCCCCTTTAGCTAGCTCTGAGTTTCACAGAAACCCAACTCCATGGATCCTACAGTCTTTAGGCACTTAAGCATTGAGACAAGGCTATAGCGAACAGGGCCCCACAGCATCCAAGTTATATTTCCAGGCTGATTACATGCTGCACAATTGTAAGAAAAATGAGAAGATATTTATTATTTGATTTTGTTTTTTAAGTCTTCTCTGCCTTCATCTTAAATGGCCATAGATCTTAGCTTCGCCCAATTCTAAGTTCTATCTTCACTAAAAATTCCTAACCCTAACCCTAAAAATCTTGCTTGTGAGGCTTTAGCCCTGAAATAGGTTTAATAAACAAATGGGTACAACATTGAGACTTTCAAGACACTTCCTCTATTCAGCATTTCTCTTGCTGTTCCAATGCATTCATTACCAAAGTTCTAGCTTCCTAAATCTTATTACTCACTCTTTTTCAGATCCGAACAGAATGAGACTTGTCTATAAGATTGTCTGTGAATGTCTACCTTTAGCTTTGTATATTGGCTTCCTTCCTCTCTACTTGAAATTCAGGAGCCAAGGTGAGTGGAATGAGAATGGGGTCTGTTGTTTCACGTTGCCTTTTCCCGGTGCCTTCTCATCTTGGAACTATTTAAATCTGAGTAGTCAATTGCAGCATTAGCAGTCATGTTTTCGGTGACATCCCAGTGTCTTCAATTACTGACATTGGAACTATTTATTTTCCTAAATTTTAGGCTTCTATCATGGCTGTTTATATGTTCATACGCAAAGTTACATTTGCTTGTAAAGCAATGTAAAGGATGATCTCTCTAGGTCTTGCCTCTGTTTCATCCCAAATATACAGACGTCTTTTACACAGCACAATTTTTGGTGTCTCCTATCATTTACATTAAGCCAACGATTCATAAACATTAAAAAATACTTTTGGTTTAGAGATCCAATCTGATAATTAATGAAAAAAACAAGTATGGTTTTTCTTTTGATTTCCTTTTCATTTTCTGAGATGACTGAAATCTGATGTTTGATTCTCTTGGATAAGCATTTGCAGGCTGTTGAAAGTATGTGGTTGTTCTGTAACATAGAGTGTTTATAAGATAGTATCTGAAAATTTAAAAATGTCTTTAATTTCATTGTGGATATCAGGAAGTATTTTATAAAAAAAACAACCAATGAAGTCACCCAAACAATCTAATTATTACTTATAAGTGGTTTGCACTCATCCATAAGACAAAATCATATCAGATGTTAGATTCTCTGGTTTAACCTGTATTTCAGAATGACTGTCAATGAAACTCGTTCAGTCTATTTCACTGCAAATCATACAAACCAGCCTCAAATCCTAAACAAATGAATGAAAAGGAAACTCCTCTGCGAGTCAATGGGAAAATTCCAAAACTCTATAAAGAAACTGAAGATAAAATTAACTTCCAGCACTATGAAATATACTAAATGTCCTAAACCAATCTTTATGATTATAGTATATCTTTCTATCCATCTAACACTTATATAGCGATGTAATTTTAAAGTGATTTTGGCCACAAAGAAAGCAAGAACAATATTTTGAGTGACAGGAAATATGAATACATATGAATCTTTTCTCCCCATCTTCCTTCTTTCACCCATTTTACTTTTCTGTTGATGTCCTTATAAGCTGATTTTAAAGACCATATCAGGATTATATATACAGACTAATTCTAACTCTGAGAACTCTCATAAGAAGGAGTATCATAGAAATGTCCACATTCATCTGAGGAGTCCAAAGTAGTGAACACTGAAACGGTCTGTAAAAAAAATCACATAAAACAGTACATCTTATGGAACAGTGTGAAAAATAGAATTTAAGAGCCGAGGAGATGGCTTATTGATTAAAAGCTTTTCTTGCTCTTAAAGAAGTCTGGTTTTTGCACCAGCATCTATATGGCAAACCAAAATTTACTATAATTACAATATTGGAGTTCTGAAGACTTCTTCTGGCCTCTAAAACTCAAATGGATAAAATAAAAAATAAGTATATTTTTGTTAAAAGATAATAGAATTTAGAAATTATTTTCCCTTAGCAATATTGCAGCTGTTAACTGGTACCAATCTCATGCAAAAATTGAAGACAAAGACAATTGACAAGCTCTCCCATTGTGTATAAGAGCTAGTTCCAGGACAGGAACCAAAAGCTACGGAGAAACCCTGTCTCGAAAAATCAAAAAAAAAAAAAAAAAACAAAAAAAAAAACAAAAACAAAATTAGCATTGATGGTCAAGACTTTCTATGTATATTAAGCATATGAGATATAGCTTTTGTATTTAAAAATGGAAGAATTCACTTAAAATATGGACAATGAAAAATATTATAAAATTTGAGAATATTTCAAAAGACCAAGTAGAACATCTATATAGATACATTTATACTAACAAAAATAAAATAAAAATAACTCAGTGGAAGCATTAAACAGGAGATCAAATGTAATGAAAAAGAACTAGACTTCAGATATCAGGAAAAATACAGTGTGTACATAGCTACCACATATGGCACAGGCCCAGATTATGCACCAGTTAGCTCTCATCAGAGAAGCTCCAATTTTCAGTAGGTAATAGTCAACAAGGAGATTAAGGTGTAGAGCATAAAAGAAGTCTGAATGGTCATTCCTAAGCAGGATATTTATAGCCTGTCTACTTGCGAAGGCTCATGGATCAATGCAGAAGAAGAGAAGGAAATGTAAGAGCTGCAGGTGGTGGATGACTACAAGGAAATTGTTTTCTCTGTGCAGTTACACATATGAACTCACAGCAGTTGAGACAGCATGCACAAGACCTGTGCAGAACTGGGCCAGATAAAACTGCAGCATAGAGAGGTGGGTTGGGCATGAAGTCACACCCTTAGCTACAGAGGTATTGGTAGCGGATAGCTGCTGGGAGAGGGAGAATCAGTTTCCTTTAAGGCTGTGGACTCTTATATGTTGACCATGCTCCAATGAAGGAACACATCCAATAATATACAGGCAGCACAAACTGTACTAGGTGTGAGTGTGTGTGTGTGTGCACACGTACGTGTGAGTACATACGTGTACACACATTCACATATACACATACATCTCTCTGTGAGAGTACTCTTATTTTTCATAATAAATATCTGTTGGTCACCACAATTTCCTCTATTAGAATGTTCCTTAATGTCTAGAAGATCCTTATCATTGCATCAAATGTTTCCTTTTCTCCTTTGCTTAGCTCTTCTTTTATGTTTTTAGATGACTACTGATCCCAGCTTACTACTTGATTCTATTTCTTACTGTGTTTTCACCTCTCTGTTAAAAATTTCCAACTCAAACTCAAATGAGGTAATTGCAATTATAATAACCTATTTCAGAACCCATACTTCTCATTCTTAATCTCACACATCACATTTTAATACACCTATCCATTTATTACTTACGTGGATTGAGATTGACTTTGAGCTCTCAAATGTTACAATCATATTCTTGGTATGCAGCGTATTAAAATATGCTGTCCTACTGAGCTGCAATGACAGAGCATGTTGACTTATTCAGCTGCTCACTGCACTAATGTATTTCTTCTCTGCTTTACCTGAGACATCTTGTTTTGGCAGCTCCTAAACCAGAGAATAAAAATAAACCAGAGGGTGCTCTCTTCTTTTTGTGGATAAATGTGTAAAAATAACATTTTACAATTTACATGCATGGCTCAAACCAAACTGCACAAACTCTTTGACTCCCTCAAACTGAAAAGTTATGTCATATAACCTTGGATCGGTGGCCTAAACTTTTCTCTCCAAATGAAGTCTACTCAAAGCCCCCTTTTTCTCTTTATTATTGACTAGGGTCCTGTGATATGGCTTATTAATTTGTGCATATTCAACTGTCTCCGTTTTATTTATTTTAAAACATGTTTAACATTTCTCTTTTTTCCTAGCTTCTATTTTGGACGATGCATACCCATTGTATAGTAATTGGCTGTGGGATGTATGCATAATCTTGGTTGTGATGATGATATTTTTCACTGGACTCATCCTGCTTCTACTTTGTACTCTAAAGAGTAAGTGAATCAGTGGGGCGGGAATTCCAAGGATCAGTCTCCTGACTCTACCGAAATCCCCATGAATCTAATCTTTACTTGGTAAAAACTGGAGGAAAGTAGAGGCTTGGATTATTGCTATTTTTCTTTACTTCTATAAGCAGATTGGCCTTGCCAAGAGCTCATTAGGTTAGCAAGTAGGCTAGCCTGTGGAGCACTATTATTGTTAAATTAGTTGAGAGTGGAAGATTGACCTTTCCTGAGGACTTCCTTATGGATTTCACTGTTCCTCTTTTAAGTACTCTCTGTGATGCTAACCTCAGCTAAGGGGAGTTCTATCAGTCTTATCCTCTGCAGTGCTATTGGTCATTCATCTCTTTATTAGACCAAACAGGTATTTTAGGCAGGTAAGTAACACAGCTTCTCAGTTTAACAAATGCAACATAAAAGAATACGATGCATCTTTGCATCATTAAACAAATATTCCGCAGCATAAATTAATGCAACACATCTTAAAACAGTATTTCTAAACACACACAAACTGTAAATTTTGGCATTTGTTGACATGGGGAGATGAAGAAGAGGAAGAGAGACAGCCGTACTTTTCGGAGACTGGCAAGTATCACACCCAGAAGAGAACACTTGCTTTATAAAGTGAATGAGAAAGCCCAGTGTCTGCAAACCATGCTTAGGCATTTGTCCACTATCAGAAAGAAAAAATATTGAACAAAAGAGAAAAGACACAAAAACCTAAAATACTTTAATAAGTTCATTTTTTTATTTAAAACAATATTGGTTGAAGCCATAAGGTAAAAATTTTATAAAGTCACAATATTTTATAATGGCCACATAAATTTTAATACAGGTTTTCTTCCAACACATGTTCTAAAAGGAAACAATATATGAGATCCTTTTATTTATTGATTGACATGGATTTTTTCTAAGAATATTTTCTTCTTCTTCTTTTCTTCTTCTTCTCTTCTTCTTCTTCTTCTTCTTCTTCTTCTTCTTCTTCTTCTTCCTCCTCCTCCTCCTCCTCCTCCTCCTCCTCCTCCTCCTCCTCCTCCTCCTCCTCCTCCTCCTCCTTCTTCTTCGTCCCTAGGAGGCAACCAGAGAGAAAATAGACTCCAGAGCTATTTAAGTCTATTAAGATAGGGAGAATCTGGCCTTTTTTGGTTGGGTTCTTAGTTTCATTAATAAAATAATTTAAACAGAGGTAAGGGGAAACTGTGGTGCAATTTTAATAGTTTAAAAGAAAAACAACAGAACCCATGTATACTTGGATATACTTTTTTACTGTTTTCTCTTTGTGGGGCTACCACTCAGTTCCCAAATAAATACTTATTTGAATAAAGACTTATTCTTTCTTACAAATGCCTGACCCTAACTTGGCTTGTTTCTTGCCAGTTTTTCTTGATCTAAGTTATCCCATCAACCTTTTGTCTCTGGGCTTCTCTATTCTATACTCCTTTCTTTACTTATTTAACAGCTGGTTTTGTAGTTGGGTGGCTGGTTCCTGGATTCCTTTCCTCCTTCTGCTCCTGCCTTCTCTTTTGTTGTTTCTCTGCCTGGCAGCACTGACTATACTGCTCCTCCTCCTCCTCCTCCTCCTCCTCCTCCTCCTCCTCCTCTTCCTCCTCCCCCCTCCTCCCCCTCCTCCTCCTCCTCCTCCTTCTTCTTGCTTAATGCAATCCCCAAACATGATTTTCTTCTGCTGTTTTGTTTACATCAGCCAAAGAACAGAACCAACAGGATCGTTTAAGCCAAACTTCACACGAAGCTGGTCAAGAAATGTCATCACTTTTGGTAACTGTTGTTTATTTGTTTGTTTGTTTGGCTGTCTGTCTGTTTTACATCTTGGCCATAGTTTCCCCTCTCTCCTCTCTTCCAAGTCCCTCTGGCCCAATCTCACTCTGTTCTAATACCCCAGGTTACACCCCCATTTCTGTTTAGGAAAGAACAGGTGTCCAATTAGTATCAACAAAACATGGCATATTAAGTCATAGTAAGACTAAACACCTCCCCATGTATTAAGGCTGGGCAAGGTAATCCAGTATGTTAAGTAGGGTCTCAAAAACCTGTAAAAGAATCAGAAACAGCCCCTATTCCCGCTGTTAGGAGTCCCACAGTAGGACCAAACTATACAACTGCAATATATACGTTGAGTGCCTGGGTCAGTCCCATGTAGGCTCCCTGGCTATCGGTTGCAGTTTCTCTAAACCCATATGAGTCCAGGTTAGTTGATTCTGTGAGTTTTCTTGTGCTGTCCTTGACTCCTCTGGCTCTTACACTCCTTTCTTTTCCTCTTTTCCAGCATTCTCCAAACTCTACCTAATGCTTGCCTGTGGGTCTTCATCTTTTTCCATCAGTTGTTGGATGATGCCTCTCTGATGTCAATTGTGCTCGGCAGCAATCTGTTCACAGGAGATGACCAATAAAGTAAACATATCAGCTATTGCAAGGAGTCTAAGCTAGGGTTTTCCTTGTAGATTGCTGAGAGGTTTCCTTCTGCCAGGTTTTTACCTGACCACGAAGTGCCCCCCTTTTCCAGTAGTCTCTTTTAGTATTCTCCTCTTCTGTCCCCCCACAACCCAATTGTTCATGTTCCCATCCTCACCTACCCTTAGCCTACTCATAAAGTCTCTTCTATTTCCCCTACCTAGGGAGATCTGGGTGTGCCCGCATGAACCCTCCGTGATACCTACTCTCTCTGTGTCTGTGGATTGTAGCATATTTCTCCTTAATTTTACAGTTAATATCCACTTATTAGTGAGTACATACCATGTTTGTCTTTCTCTGTCTAGATTATCACACTCATGATGATTTTTTGTCTAGTTCTATCCATTTGCCATCAGATTTCCTGGTGTCCTGTTTTTAACAGTTGAGTAACATTTTATTGTGTAAATATACCACATTTTCTTTTTCCATTCCTTGACTGAGGGGCATCTAGTTTCTTTCCAGGTTTTGTTTGTCTTTTTCTCAATTTCTTTAAGGGATTTGTTCATATGCTTTCTAAGGACCTCTATTGACTTCATAAAGTAATTTTAAGGCTATTTTCCTGTGCTTCATCTGTGTTTATAGGTTTAACATATAAAGGCAAAACTATTAGAATTATACCTGACTTCTTAACAGAGACACTAAAATCTAGACGGGCCTGGACTGATGTCTTGCAGACCCTAAGAGACCACAGATGCCAGCCCAGACTACTATACCCAGCAAAACCCTCTATCAACACAAATGAAGAAAACAGTCTTGATGTTGTAGGAGAGCTGGGCTTTAGTGATACTATATTGCCTTTACTTTTATTATGTTCTTACACTTGTGTTTAAGCATATGTATTTAGGATGATTATAGGTCTAGGTGTTGAATCCTTAGTTTTTCTTTGTTATATGGGTGTTTTCTTCCTTGGTTTTTCTTTCTTCTCTGGTCTAATGGCCTAAATGACTGGTTACCAGTGAGTCTTCAGGTTCAGTTTGGTGTCCCCTCTGGAGTTTTTTTTTTTCTTCTAGGGGGTCCCTAGATCTGATCTGGCCTCTGACAAAGCCTGAGTATTCTTCTGAAGTTGTAGACCAGAATATGTAGCCATGGGGAAGGGATGGAGACTGGGTTCCTTGGAACTTGTCTGGCCTCTGCAGTCCCTAGGACAGACCTGGTGTCTAGGACAGCTACCAGTGCTGGGGTACCTAGATACAGTCTGTACTCCAGTAAAGCTGAAGGCATGTGCTCTAATAAAGTTGAAGTCTTCTTCTGAAGTTGTACACCCAAATATGGAGCCAGAGGCTAGTGTTAAGGTGTTGGGGTTGTGTGAGTAGTCTGAGGTAGTTGGGAAGGCTTTAAGGATTTTTTTCTTTTTTGTTGTTTATCAAGCTAATTTCTTTTTTTTTTATTGAAAAAAAATTTCCGCCTCCTCCCAGCCTCCCATTTCCCTCCCCCTCCTCCCCCTCCTCTCCCCTCCCCCCACTCCTCTCTCCCTCCCTCTCCAGTCCGAAGAGCAGTCAGGGTTCCCTGCCCTGTGGAAAGTCCAAGGTCCTCCCCCCTCCATCTAGGTCTAGAAAGGTGATCATCCAAACTGGCTAGGCTCCCACAAAGCCAGAACATGAAGTAGGATCAAAACCCAGTGCCATTGTCCTTGGCTTCTCATCAGCCCTCATTGTTCACCATGTTCAGAGAGTCCGGTTTTATCCCATACTTTTTCAGTCTTTAAGGGGGTTTTGTGGGTAGTGGGAAGTGCCTTAACTGGGATTTCTAGGACCAGCCTGGACTCCCATAAATCTGCCAGTACTGTGTAGCCTAGTTTGGAGTTGAGGGGGAAGGTACTGTCTGGGATTACTGGGTGAATTTTAAGGAGTGTTATCAGGCAGTAGGTATCTTAGTGTCCCTAGGTCCAACATGACCTCTGGTAAAGTTAACTTCCAAAATAGTAGACCAGGAAAAGGGGTCCAAGGGTAGAGGTACAGTCTTGGGTTGTTGAACAGGCTTTAAAGGATTTAATGGGTGATGGGTGGTGTCCTCTTTGGCATTCCAAGGATCACACTGTCCTCCAGTACAGCTGCCTAGACTGTGGTGATATGGGAAGTTTTTCTGTATATGTGTTACTTTTATTGGCTAATGAATAAAGACTCTGCTTTGGCCTATGGCAGTACAGAATATAGCCAGTCTGGAAGATATATATATATATATATATATATATATATATATATATATATATATATATATATATATATTAGCAGAATCAGACAGAGACACCATGTAACTGCTGAAAGAGACAGACAGCAGATGAAATCTTGATGATAGGTCACAGGCTCATAGCAATGCAAAATAATAGAAATGGGTTAATTTAAGATGTAAGAGTTAGTTAATAAAAAGCCTGAGCCAATAGGCCAAACAGTGTTATAATAAATATAGTTTCTGTGTAATTATTTGGGTCTGGGAAGCTGGGAAATGAATGAGCAGCCTCTGCTTAGACATGTTGTCCCAATGAGGGGCAACTACATCCACTTGAAACCTGAGAGACCTTGGGA